AAAATTATCACGGTTTTCGGTATTATCGCGGTATTTTTTAAACGGTGTTGCATATGTTCAGAAAGCATTGATAGTCCTGTTCTACACAAACTGAAATAGTTCTGAAAAGGTTTAACAGTGTTTATTAAACCTAAAATAACACAAAGCCTTAGCAAAAGTGCAACTTTTCACAAGTAAAGGAACAAATAGCTTATTTTTCTGGAACTTGTTACAGTAGTCAGTGCAGGTTTAAATTATACAAATCCAAACATTCAAAACATAAACAATATGTAAACAAATCAAAGAAACACCACTTGTTTTCTCATATACTTGTTTTCTTCATTATCAAAATGAAAATCTAAAACTCCAGTCCACACTTGACTTGAGCACTGTACAAGTCAACCTTAAAAAATATGTATTTAAAATAAATATCCACTTTAAACAAATTACTAAAATAACTACTACACTATGTAATCAAATCCAAATGTTCAAGTATAAATGGCATTGAATAAGTAAACAAATCCATGACAAGGAACTAATTGTATATTTCTCTTCATCATCAACAAATACGATGCTTCATCCAGCAACAGGGTGTCCGTGACACGGTTTAAATGCTGGCAGAGGACGCTGCGGCTGCAGGATATAGTGACTCGTTGCATTCTCCCTCAACCAAAAGTCCTCACGTCATGCATTTCAGCTAAAATGCTAATGTTAACTTACCTTGCACTGGCTGTGGAGACGTGGGTGATCGTCACGCAGATGTGCCATGAGATTTGAAGTGTTGCTGCCTTCTGCAGACACTTGTTTCCTGCACGTTCTGCAAACGGGATAGCCGTCTTCTATTAACTGTCCCTCAGCATTTTTCAGAAATCCCAAATATGCCCATACTTCCGATTTAGTCTTCTTTGAGGGCTGATGGATGTCCTGGGCGCTGCCGTCGCCTCCTTCGGCCATTATTTCAGCTTCAAAGTTTTGGTGCCGTTGCAAATTAAAAAGTGCGTGTGCGCGCAGCGGGAACTTCAGCTGAAGCGACGGTGGCTGGTAAGGGTCACCGCGCCGAAACCGCGGCCACGGTAAACCCACCGAGATAATATAGTTTTTTAAAAACTGGACGGTTATTTTTATTGTCAACTTTTTTACCGGGGTTTACCGCTATACCGGTTACCGTGACAACCCTATGTTGTACTTCAATTTAAATGAAAACTAATGATGGGTGTTTCGACCACGCCAGACACGTACTTTGAGATTTATTAGCTTGTAAAAGTTTGTAATTAGCGTGACTACAATCCAGACGTTGGCACGTCACATTTATGTCACCTCACATATATGACGTCACCACTGAATCTCTTCCCCCTAGCGTAGCTGCTACTTGCCAAATGGCCATATTTACAGTGGTTTTATGCCTTCTGAAGGAAGGATTTTAAGTTTGCTGAACTTACAGCCACATTCCCTCAGTTTTACTCCATTTGTGGTTCCATTACATCACTTTCGTGAAGCGCAAGTGATGTAAGCGTGACGCGAACTACCCAGTGCGAGTAATCATCCAGCGCTGAGTTGTGTCTGCCAGTTCCTTAAATCCTCCTGGTGGCTGATTACAGATCTAGGTCACCTGGACCTGCTTTCCAGATACGCCCACCTGCAGGGTAACAGATTTTGGGAAAAAATGGATCAGGGAACAGGAATAACACACAGACCATGACATGGGCGCCCTGACTCTGTGTTTTTGTGGCGGTCCCATCTTGGGGTAAAGGGACATAATGAAACCCGAAGTGTGTTGCTTTTGTCTATTTTATTCAGTAATTTGCTTTTGGTTGCTGTCACTCCAGATATCCTATTTCACACAGTTGGAAAGGTTAACAGGGTTTTCAATGCTGTTGTGACTATTTGGGGGTATTCTTTCATGAATTTAATCAAAAAAACTAAGAGATGTCTCAAATATTTTTTGAATGCTGCATCATTTGCAATCTTCAAAAGTTGATCTTATTCTTCTTGCACAGAGTGACTAGATTTGGATATGATATACATTTGGACACATGCAGGCCTTTTGATTCTACTGGCCAATAACGACCACCCATGAAGGCTGTCAGAGTCTATTTTGGACGAAAGCAGCGGCTGCTGCAGTAGCGTTGTGACTCTCAAAGACTCTCTTGGTCAGCTTGCTTCTCACACCAAACCCTCTGTCGGGAATCTTGGTGTGACCTTTGACCCAGCTCTCACCCTGGATTTTCATGTCAGTCCTCTTGTTCACTCTTCCTTCTTCTATCTCAGGAACATTGCTAAGCTGAGTCCCGTTTTGTCCCGCTCTGAACTTGAGACAGTTATCCACACCTTCATCTCCTCATGCTTAGACTACTGTAACTCTCTTTTCACGTGTCTGAGCAGAACCTCCCTGAACCGTCTACAGGTGGTTCAGAATGCCTGTGCTCGGCTTCTGACCAAGTCCTCCAAACACACCCACATCACCCCGCTTCTCCTCCAGCTTCACTGGCTGCCAGTCAACTTCAGGGTTCATTTCAAGATCCTGGTTCTGGTCTATAGGGCCTTACATGGACAAGCACCGTCATACATTGGTGATCTTCTTAGTCCCTACACCCTCAGCAGGTCCCTGAGGTTCAGTGATCAAAGCTGGTTGTGCAGCATCAGGCTAAAGATCAAAGGTGACAGATCATTTGCTGCTGTGGCCCCCAGACTCTGGAACTCTCTCCCCCTGAGCCTGAGATAAGTGGACTCAGTGGTCTCCTTTAAAAAGCAGCTGAAACTCACCTATTCAAGCTTGCTTTGGTGTGACCTTCATCTCCACCCTGTCCTTATTCTTCTCTAATTTCTTACATTTGTTCTCAGATTGTTGAAGCTGTGGCTGAAGTATCCTTGTGTGAGATGATGCTCTGATGAGTATCTTCTCTTGATTGATGTTGTTACCTCCACGATGTAGGTACATTAAATGGTAAATGGTAAATGGCATGTATTTGATATAGTGCCTTTTAGAGTCCTGGAACCCCCCAAGGCACTTTACAACACAATCAGTCATTCACCCATTCACACACACATTTAATTGTAATGTTTAACATGTCTACACACCTGCAATGTGTCGGGAAGTTAATTGCCATCAGGTATTATTACTTAAATAAAATTAAATTTCTCCTTTCTGGTTTAGTCTATCTTATTTTAGTACCAGTGCAGTGGTTTGTTCTGGACCTAGAGGTATGACATAAACACATGTTCCAATCTAAAGAGAAGCTTGGTGGGACCCAAACAGCCTGTGTAGGCACTGTCATTAATCAATGACTCTGTCAGCTCACATAATCCCAATAAAGACCCATTAATCCCCAGAGCCTTAACACACATACCAGCTACATTAGATCAGCTTCTTCTGACAGTTTTTCTATCATATTAAAGTGAGAGAGAATTGAATACTATGAGTCATTAAACACCACCTCCTGTTGTGTTTTTGTACTTTCTGTAGTTGCCAACAGGAGCTGTGCTCCAGCGTGTTATTGCATTATCTAATACTACTGAGATTTTCTGAGCCAAATAAAGAGAAGTTATGGTTATTATGATCATTAAACTCTACATCTGTTTCCCTGGTGTTAGCATGGCTGTTACACCTTACAAAGACTTTTCAGCACTACAACTTCAGGTAATTAATTGATTGATTGCTGATTGCATTTATTAGTTGTTTGGAGGACTAACTAATCACATTTGAAGCAATGTTTTAAGGTAACTTCCAGAGTTCTGATCTGATGTTGCAAACAATTCTAGCCAGTACAAGATGATGAAATCTGGTGAAAGGAAATAGTCCCAATAACCAGCCCAAGACGTGTAAACTGCAATAGAAAAGGGATACGGGGGCCACACCACAGGTTAGGTTCAAACACTAACAAATGTACCTGGAACATCATTTCCACTTAAAAAATAAAGTTAGTGACAATTAACATCAATTTCTCAGCTAATAGGTCATTTTTGTTCTGTTGTGGGGCCAACACATTTATGCCTGTTGTTGAACATTTAACTGAAAGACAGCCACAAACCCTTTCACTGGTGTTGTCTATGATTTAACACCAGCATTACTAGGAACCCGTCGTATGGGAGATGGAAAAACGTCTGGTGTTGTGGTTTCATAAATATGTTGTCACTGCTATCATTGGTGTGATAAACAGAGCAAATCAGGCACACACTCAAGAGAGAGAAAAACAAACTGATCATATTTGGATGTAAAAACACGACGTATGCATAAACAGACTTGTGCTGCTTTACTCTAGATTATCGGAACATATTAACATGTCATATTTTATAAGTCTATGGAATACAACCTGTTACATGTACTGTGGCTGACCTTGATCCTGCATAACCGAGCTCGCAGTAAATGATCTTGTTTTATTTAGAATTGACATCTGTCCTGCTAAAAGCCTTTAGTTAAAGCTTTTGCTCCTTAGCCTGTCTGTCTGCATCAGGGAGTGGGTGAGACACAGAGACAGGAGGGGCAAGTGTGGTTGCATATCATGATCATGTGTTTGTTTGTTTGTTTATATTTTTAATTTATTTTCAGTTATGGGTCATTGTGCTCCACGATACAAAGCTACAACCCCATTATGTCAATCAGCAACGTTAAATAACCGCGCTTGACTCTCTGCTGCTGACCTAGATCCTCCTACAAACAGCATTGTTTATTAGTGAAATGTCACATCATCATCACAAGTCAGTGGGCTGAGAGTTGGTGCTCATCAACAGGAAGTTGTTGCTGAGGTCTAATTTATCACACCAGCTGGTAAAGTTCGGTGTGCCAAATTGTAGGAAATGATCTTGTGTTTTTTTTACAAATCAAAGGTGCTCTTTCATGAAGTGATTTGGTTGTTTTCAGCCTTTTTATCTGCACAAATAAGATGCTAAGTTTCCTGACAAAATGTTTACACAACGTTCAAAACACTTATCTGTCTAGACGGTGAATGAAAACATGCTAAGTCCACGTAAGGCACCAGTGCAGCCCTGACACTGACAGACCTTATGACTGGTTGCATCTGCAGGTCTTTGGATGGCCGTCTGCAGGTCTCCCACAGGAAGGGTCTGCCTCATGTCATCTACTGTCGGCTGTGGCGCTGGCCCGACCTTCAGTCTCACCACGAGCTGAGAGCGGTGGAGCTGTGCGAGTATGCCTTCCACACAAAGAAAGATGAAGTATGTGTCAACCCATACCATTACCAGAGAGTGGAGACACCAGGTACAACAGCTGCTGCTAACACAGCTGTTTTTAGCTAAATGTCTTAGAATTGGTTTACTGTTGTTTGTTTTCTCTAAAATGATGTCCTGATGTCCCTGTTTTAGTTCTTCCACCGGTGCTGGTGCCCAGACACACTGAAATCCCCAGTGAGTTCCCTCCCCTGGATGACTACAGCCATTCAATCCCTGAAAATACCAATTTCCCTGCTGGCATTGAGCCCCAGAGCAACTACATACCAGGTACCGGCACACTTAGAGCCAGTTCACAGTCTGTCGAAACAAGCTAGTAAGATTTTACAGCTGAGATAAACGGAGCTGGTGCTGAAATTCTTTTCCTCTCAAAAATGAGAAAACGGTCAGAGCTTTTCTGATCTTCTCTGCTTAAATAGAGTCGACTTTTTCCACAATAAAAGAGACAAAAATTAAAAAGAAATCAAATCTCTGGACAGACTTTCTTTTAGAAGATATATGCCCATAAGGCTGTTGAGTGATGGATGAAGAAAGCTTTTAAAAAAGGTTAAACTGTCTTAAATGTGTCTGGTTGCAGCAGACCTTGCTATGTCTTGATCATTTGGGGTGTGTGTGTGTGTGTGTGTGTGTGTGTGTGTGTGTGTGTGTGTGTGTGTGTGTGTGTGTGTGTGTGTGTGTGTGTGTGTGTGTGTGTGTGTGTGTGTGTGTGTGTGTGTGTGTGTGTGTGTGTGTGTATGTATCTGAGTGTCTCGACCTCACGTGTGTTTTCACATGTCTCAGAAACACCTCCACCAGGATACCTCAGCGAGGATGGAGAGACTAGTGATCACCAGATGACCCACATGGACACAAGCTCTCCAAACCTGTCTCCGAACCCCGTCTCACCCACACACAGTAACTTAGGTAAGACCCGGGAGTCTGTAAGTGTCTGCTCTTCTTCTTCACCTGCAGACAAATTGGATCCCCCCAGTGGGAATTCTCTGTTTGGTTTAACTCTGTTTCTGCAAGAGGAAACAAGATGATGAAAGAAGTCTTTGTCCTTCACGCCCACCGTGTGAGCTGTAAAACAGGCCAAGACACCATTCAGTTCGCAGTAACATCAATAAAAATATCCTATGTTTGTTCTGTCAGGATGAGAAAACACCGGGGGGAACTTAGCTGGAATGCTGCTGGTATAAATAGGAAAACAACACCAGTTTCACTTGGCAGAACTGTCCAGTTTCCCCTCAACTTCAACACAAAATGTTGCAGTTGAGAAGGAAGAGTAAATAAGCAGAACTCGTGGAAAAACTGGTCTTAATGTTACCGTTTTGGCCTGAGTTTCCACCAGTGAGAATCTGCATTTCATATTTTATTTAAAGCTTGAAGGGAACAGTTTCTGGGTCTGACGTTTTGTTACACAAGCTTTCACTAAATGTTTTCTTCATTTGGGAAGGTTTTTCTGCAGCCCCCTTTCTCGTCATGTTTCGTTTATTTTGTCTCTTGTCTGTTATCATTGTATCTCTAGTTTCTCTCTTGTGTTTTTTGTTTTCTGCCATTCGTTTCTTCTATTTTCATCCTCTTGTTATTCTAGGATCCCTGACTCCAGTTCCTCCTTTGTTTATCTTACTTCCAACATGACAGGCCAAACAGATCTGCTCATCTCAGTCCTTTCAGAGACCAGCTACTGTCCTTTTCTGTTATCTGTTGGAGCCAAACTAACAGCACCTTTCCCTCACAGATCTCCAGCCAGTAACATACTGTGAGCCAGCGTTCTGGTGCTCCATTTCCTACTACGAGCTGAACCAGCGAGTAGGGGAGACCTTCCACGCCTCACAGCCCTCGTTGACGGTGGATGGCTTCACAGACCCCTCAAACTCTGAGCGTTTCTGCCTCGGATTGTTGTCCAACGTCAACCGCAATGCAGCAGTGGAGTTAACACGCAGACACATCGGTGGGCATCAGCTCTGATTATAACAGATAAAACTGTCTGGTTAACGTCTCTGTGACATCCGTGCTTCTGCGTTTCTCTCTCTCAGGGCGCGGTGTGCGGCTGTACTACATCGGAGGAGAAGTGTTTGCAGAGTGTCTCAGTGATAGCGCTATCTTCGTCCAGAGCCCCAACTGTAATCAGCGTTATGGTTGGCACCCCGCCACTGTCTGCAAGATCCCCCCAGGTGTGTGTCCAGCTGATGGAGTCAGCAGAATCCTTTATAGACTGTGATGAGTTGGGAAAAGATACAGATGAGAGCGTAGAGTGATGGATGGAAACTGGGTTGGTAGCTTGATCCCCAGCTGTGTTGGAACCTATGTAGTGTGTATTCAGTTGTCCATGCATTTATTACTTCCTATTGTAATTCAGTGCTCTTTGGTATCTCCTCCTCCACCCTCGCTTGACTTCAGCTTGTGCAGAACGTAGCAGCTCGTTTCTTGACTGGCACCAGGCAGCGAGAACACATCACACCAGTTTTAGCAAATCTCCATTGGCTCCCCATCCATCTCCGTATAGAGTTTAAGATCCTGGTTTTTGTATTTAAATCCCTCAATAACTTAGCACCTAGCTACTTGTCTGAGCTCATTCACCCGTATGTCCCTACAAGATCCCTCCGATCAGCCGACCAGCACCTCCTACATGTCCCTAGCTCTCGCTGTAAATCCCGCGAGGAGCTCGCCTTTTCGGTTTGTGCACCGAAGCTCTGGAACCACTTGCCCCTCCTGATCAGACTCTCTTTCCCTTTTTAAGTCTCGTTTAAAAACTCACTTTTATTCGTTGGCTTTTAATTCAGTCTAACTTATTCTCTTTCTCCTTTTCTTTTCGAGTTGGATTACTCGATTTTAATGGTTTTAGTTTTTATTTTTGATTGTTTTTATTGTGTGTTTTTGTTCAGCACTTTGGTCGGCTCTCATGCGGTGTTTAAATGTGCTATACAAATAAACTTGGTATGGTATGTAGTGTGTATGGTCAGGAACCTTTTGTGAGAATTAGGTGTTATTAGATGTCTAGATGAATTAAAACTGAGTTATTCTCAGCTGCTGTGCTGCTTATATATCATCTTATCTGTGACATCACCTCTGTCATCATCAACTCAAGGATATCTCCTCTGACTCATCTCTCCTCTCATTAAAAACACAGACATGAGCTCTTTATTTACCAAAGGAGATGTTTGCTCAGGTCCATGTTGGAGTTTGTAGGTTCTTACGCGAATGTTTCATCTCCTAAGTTACTTTCAAATAAGCAGTCTTCTACAGACCGGTTCACACGGCAGGGTACTTCTTGACCCAATTCTCCCCTTCTGAAGATCCCACGGCAGATTACTGTGATGGCTCTGAAGATAATCTTATCGGATATCCTTGGCACTTGTTTAATTTTGGTGGTGGTGGTGGGGGGGGGGGGGGGGGGGGGGGGGAAGAAAATATAATTTCTATAGCGCCTCTCAAGATAAAAATCACAAGGTGCTTCACAAAAACAAAAAATGTAAAAAATATGGAAAATGATTAAAAATATATTTTAAATGAGCAAAAATAGACAATTGTGATTAAAAAAAGGTTAAGAAAGAGAGAGAGTAACTAAGAGCATAAAGAGAGAGTGGTGAAGAAGGTCATACAAAAGCCAGCTTGAACAAGTGAGTCTTCAGCTGCTTTTTGAAGGAGACCACTGAATCCCCTGATCTCAGGCTCAGGGGGAGAGAGTTCCAGAGTCTGGGGGCCACAGCAGCAAATGATCTGTCACCTTTGGTCTTTAGCCTGGTGCTGCACAACCAGTAGGCTTTGACCACTGGACCTCAGGGACCTGCTGGGGGTGTAGGGACAAAGAAGATCACCAATGTATGATGGTGCTTGTCCATGTAAGGCCCTATAGACCAGAACCAGGATCTTGAAATGAACCCTGAAGTTGACTGGCAGCCAGTGAAGCTGGAGGAGAAGCGGGGTGATGTGGGTGTATTTGGAGAACTTGGTCAGAAGCCGAGCACAGGCATTCTGAACCACCTGTAGATGGTTCAGGGAAGTTCTGCTCAGACACGTGAAAAGAGAGTTACAGTAGTCTAAGAGTGAGGAGATGAAGGTGTGGATAACTGTCTCAAGTTCAGAGCGGGACAGAATGGGACTCAGCTTAGCAATGTTCCTGAGATGGAAGAAGGAAGAGCGAACAAGAGAACTGACATGAGAGTCCAGGGTGAGAGCTGGGTCAAAGGTCACGCCAAGATTCCTGGCAGAGGGTTTGGTGTGAGAAGCAAGCTGACCAAGAGAGTCTCTGACTTTGGGAACCAGCTTGTCTTGGGCACAGATGAGGATCTCAGTCTTATCTTCATTCAGCTGTGGAAAGCTCCCAGCCATCCAGGTTTTGATAGAGTCTAAGCAGGTGTGTAACAGCTGCAGCTTAGACATCTCATGGGGCTTAAAGGAGATGTACATCTTCGTCTTCGTCTTCCTCCGCTTATCCGGGTCCGGGTCGCGGGGGCAGCATCCCAATTAGGGAGCTCCAGGCCGTCCTCTCCCCGGCCTTGTCCACCAGCTCCTCCGGCAGGACCCCAAGGCGTTCCCGGACCAGATTGGAGATGTAACCTCTCCAACGTGTCCTGGGTCGACCCGGGGGCCTTCTGCCGGCAGGACATGCCCGAAACACCTCCCCGGGGAGGCGTCCAGGAGGCATCCTGACCAGATGCCCAAACCACCTCAACTGGCTCCTTTCGATCCGGATGAGCAGCGGTTCTACTCCGAGTCCCTCCCGAATGTCCGAGCTCCGCACCCTATCTCTAAGGCTGAGCCTGGCCACCCTACGGAGGAAACTCATTTCGGCCGCTTGTATCCGCGATCTCGTTCTTTCGGTCATTACCCAAAGCTCATGACCATAGGTGAGGATTGGGACGTAGATCGACCGGTAAATCGAGAGCCTGGCTTTCTGGCTCAGCTCCCTCTTCCCCACGACAGATCAGCTCAGCGTCCGCATCACTGCAGACGCCGAACCAATCCGCCTGTCGATCTCCCGATCCCTCCTACCCTCACTCGTGAACAAGACCCCGAGATACTTAAACTCCTCCACTTGAGGTAGGACCTCTCCCCCGACCCGGAGGTGGCAAGCCACCCTTTTCCGGTCGAGAACCATGGTCTCAGATTTGGAGGTGCTGATCCTCATCCCAGCCGCTTCACATTCGGCCGCGAACCTACCCAGCAAGAGCTGAAGGTCAGAGCTGGATGAAGCTAGGAGGACCACATCATCCGCAAAAAGCAGAGACGAGATTCTCCTGCCACCAAACTCGACACACTCCACACCACGGCTGCGTCTAGAAATTCTGTCCATAAAAGTGATGAACAGAACCGGTGACAAAGGGCAGCCCTGGCGGAGTCCAACCCTCACTGGGAACAGGTCCGACTTACTACCGGCTATGCGGACCAAACTCACGCTCCTCTGGTAAAGGGACTGAATGGCCCTTAACAGAAAGCCACCCACCCCATACTCCTGGAGCGTCCCCCACAGGGTGCCCCTGGGGACACGGTCATAAGCCTTCTCCAAATCCACAAAGCACATGTGGATTGGTTGGGCAAACTCCCATGCCCCCTCCATCACCCTTGCAAGGGTATAGAGCTGGTCCACAGTTCCACGGCCAGGACGAAAACCACATTGCTCCTCCTCTATCTGAGATTCAACTATCGATCGGACCCTCCTCTCCAGTACCTTGGCGTAGACCTTTCCAGGGAGGCTGAGGAGTGTGATCCCCCTATAGTTGGAACACACCCTCAGGTCACCCTTCTTAAAGATGGGGACCACCACCCCGGTCTGCCACTCCCTAGGAACTGCCCCCGATGACCACGCAATGTTGTAAAGACGTGTCAACCATGACAGCCCTACAACATCCATAGCCTTGAGATACCCAGGACGAACCTCATCCGCCCCCGGGGCTCCGCCGCTGTGTAGTTGTTTGACTACCTCAGCAACTTCTGCCACCGAGATCGGACAGTCCATCCCCAGGCCTCCCAGCTCTGGTTCCTCCTCGGAATGCGCATTGGTGGGATTGAGGAGCTCCTCAAAGTATTCCTTCCACCGTCCGACTATAGCCTCAGTTGACGTCAGCAGCTCCCCATCCCCACCGTAAATAGTGTGAGCGAGTTGCTGCCTTCCTCTCCTGAGGCGCCGGACAGTTTGCCAGAACCTCTTTGGAGCCGATCGATAGTCTTTCTCCATGGCCTCACCAAACTCCTCCCACGCCCGAGATTTTGCCTCGGCAACTGCCACTGCTGCACCCCGCTTGGCTATCCGGTACCTGTCTGCTGCCTCCGGAGACCCACAGACCAGCCACGCCCTGTAGGCCTCCTTCTTCAGCCTGACGGCTCCCCGAACCTCTGGTGTCCACCAGCGGGTACGGGGGTTGCCACCACGACTGGCACCGGCCACCTAGCGACCACAGCTAGCAACAGCCGCCTCGACAATCGCAGAGTGGAACAAGGCCCACTCGGACTCAATGTCCCCCACTGCTCTCGGGACGTGGTCAAAGCTCTGCCGGAGGTGGGAGTTGAAGACCGTCTTGACAGGTTCTTCTGCCAGGCGTTCCCAGCAGACCCTCACTATGCGTTTGGGTCTGCCAGGTCTACGCGGCATGTTCCCTTGCCATCTGATCCAACTCACCACCAGGTGGTGATCAGTTGACAGCTCCGCCCCTCTCTTCACTCGGGTGTCCAAAACATACGGCTGCAGGTCAGATGATACGACTACAAAATCTATCATCGACCTGTGACCTAGGCTGCCCTGGTACCAAGTGTACCGGTGGGCATCCTTATGTTCGAACATGGTGTTCGTTATGGCCAAACTGCGGCTTGCACAGAAGTCCAATAACAAAACACCGCTCGAGTTCAGATTAGGTGGGCCGTTCCTCCCAATCACACCCCTCCAGGTCAAGCTGTCATTGCCCACGTGAGCATTGAAGTCCCCCAGCAGGACAATGGAGTCCCCTGATGGAGCACTATCTAGCACTCGTCCCAGGGACTCCAAAAAGGGTGGGTATTCTGAACTGATATTTGGCCCATACGCACAAACAACAGTCAGGACCCGTTCCCCGACCCGAAGGCGCAAGGAAGCTACCCTCTTGTCCCCCGGGGTAAACCCCAACACACAGGCAGAGTCTCGGGGCTAACAAAAAGCCAACCCCAGCCCTCCGCCTCTCACCCGGAGCAACTCCAGCAAAGTAGAGTGTCCAACCCCTCTCCAGGTCTCGGGTTCCAGAGCCAATGCAATGTGTCGAGGTGAGTCCGACTATATCTAGCCGGTACCGCTCAACCTCTGCCACAAGCTCCGGCTCCTTCCCCGCCAGCGAGGTGACGTTCCATGTCCCAAAAACTAGTTTTCTTGTCCGGGGATTGGACCGCCAAGGCTCCCACCTTGGTCTGCCACCCGATTCACATTGCACCGGACCCTTCATGTTCCTCCTGCGGGTGGTGGGTCCACAGTTGGACGAGCCCATGTATCCGGTTCGGGCTGGGCCCGGCCGGGCCCCATGGGCGAAAGCCCGGCCACCAGGCGCTCGCTCACGGGCCCCAACCCCAGGCCTGGCTCCAGGGTGGGACCCCGGTAACCCTCCGGGCCGGGTACTCCGACTCTTCGTTTTAACCGCCATGAAAGATCCTTCGAAGGAGATGTACAGTTGGATGTAATCTGCAGAAAGATGGTAGGAGATTCCTTTGAAGGAGCTCTTGATGTGCTGAAGAGGAAGCAGATAGAGGACGAGTAGAGGCCCCAACACAGAACCTTGTGGGACACCATGGGTAAGAGAGGTGGTGGAGGACCTAAACTTAGAGACGGCCACAGAAAAGGAGCGCTCAGAGAGATAAGAGGAGAACCACTCCAGAGCAGATCCTGATAGGCCTACCCAGTCTCAGCCTCTCCAGTAGCAGGTGATGGTCAACAGTGTCAAAGGCTGCAGTCAGGTCCAGCAGGACCAAAACAGTCCCCTGCATCACTGTGGGTCAGAAGGTCATTAGAGACCCTAAGAAGAGCGGTTTCAGTAGAATGAGCTCTACGAAAACTTGACTGGAAGCTATCATAGATGTTATGTTCATCAAGAGCAGCTGTGAGTTGTTTAGCCACAACCTTTTCCAAGATCTTGGAGATGAACGGAAGTTTAGAGATGGGCATGTCCCTGTCAGCCTCTGGGGGCCTGCATAATGGCATTGTGTATCTCAATCGCTGAGCTGATGGAGAAGAATCAGGCTTCAGAAGTTCTCTAGTTCTCACTGCTCCAGTCTTAAACCAGATAGTGAACCTGTTGGATTGTCTTGGTCTGATATCAGCGTATCTGGAGAACCCAGAGGACAAACCGGTGTGCTGCCTGTATAATGTTGTGTCTACTTTATGTTTCTCCTTGCTCTGCTACCTTTAGGATGTAACCTCAAGATCTTCAACAACCAGGAATTTGCTGCCCTGCTAGCACAGTCAGTCAACCAGGGCTTTGAGGCTGTTTACCAGCTTACCAGGATGTGCACCATCCGCATGAGCTTCGTCAAGGGCTGGGGAGCTGAATACAGGTGAACCGTTCAGATTCTTCATGATTCTTGTTCCTCACCCTACAGCTGAGATGATTTCCTACTTTTGGATTGGTTCTTATTTTCTATGACAACCGAGTAGAACTGGTGCTTGTCTTGGGTTTGAATCCTGTCCAGAACAAACTCCATTATGGGGGCTCTGCCAATCCAGCGCTGCACGCTCGATTTAGGTTCCTGCTCCTGCCAAATAGAAAAGAAGTTACAAAAACAACAACTTTTAATTGTGCAGATTTCACTAGAAGAGTGGAAAGTTTCACACAAAGGAGAAAACTACTCAGAGGAAGTCTAGTTTACATAATGTTAAGGGCCTAATCTCTAGCCTGTTTATTACACATCAGTCTGATGTTTTTCAGGTTACCTCTAACCACCGGTAGTTGATCTACATCCCACATTTGTTTTGTTGGAATCTGGTCCTTGAGTCACTGTTTAGTTTTGAATAAATATTAAGCCCTCACTTATTAGCTGTGCCAATGTGTAGAGATTACTGATCAAAGATGGACTCCCCACAGCATGGGTCTACACGTAAAAAGAGACAATAGAAGCACGCTCTGAGTCACAGAGCTCAGCCACCTCCACTCACACTCTGGTGAATCCTCAGGATGACGTCATGTAGCCCTCGTCAACAGAAACAGGCCCAGACTATTTCTAAACAAACACACATGTGCTGTGTCAGAAGAGACGTCAGACTTTCCCTCTTCGACTCTGAGATTTCCACATGGGTTGACTCACTGATAGTAAGAAAGGAGGAGACAGAGCAGAGGGCTGGCTCCATGCACTAGTTTCACAAACGAAAGACCTTTGTGCTGCGAGGAGCAGTCTACCAGATGCTGGCATGTGGAGGAACCAGGATTCACCTTTTCCAGCTCTGTTCCTAACCCTTTTGTTCCTTCTTAAATGTTCTTTACAGAACAAGTGTAGAAAGGAACACACAAAAAACTACCAAGTTCAAACCTAAAAAAGGCAAATGCTACACCTACAAATATACCAAACACCGATGAAAGCAAAACTAAAGCAAAGCAACAGGAAGAGGATACGGTGACGCTTTTAGCAGCGACCATCTCAGCTAGCAGGTGTTGTTTAGAATCAAACAGCAGCTGCTGAGTGAAAACAGAAGCTGGTGTGATGTTTGCAGAACATCGAATCTTTTCACAAACCTGAGCCACTTCCTCCTGTGATGAATGGTAGTGTTACTGCTCACTGCTGACGCCATCATCTAAAACCTTTTTATTCCACTTTTAGCATCAAACTGGAAACACTGGTTTCATCTCATCAGTCACAGACTGTTTTCTCAGAGTAAGAAATCAGGACAAAGGCAGATCATGTAATGATCAAATAAGCTTCTTTTTTTTACTCTGCTGCATTTTAAAATATGATCTTAATTAAATGAATTTTTTAAAGTGTAAAACGGATCAATAATTGGTAAATAAACATGAACAACAGCAGCTATAAACATGAACACAAAACAGAATGATTCTTTATTTGCTGAATGAAAGCTCCTTAGATTTAGTCTTTTATGAACATTAGCTTAGGAAGAACAAGATCTGCTCTGTAGATTGGGGATTATGTTGCTTAGCAACAGTAGATAAACACACCAGAAGAATGGGAACATTTATAAACAGGAAATTATCTCTTTTCATGAAGCTTTTCTCTCTGCCAGATGCACACAGATGAACCTCAACATGCACGTATCACATGTGATCATCATCTGATCCCAGTTCTGTTGCACCGGGACCATCAGCAGCACGAGTGTAGCGTGGCGTCAGCAGTGTTACTGTGTGATGTAGAAGTATAGATGTCGAGTTCCTGAATCCTGATTGTGTCAGTCCGCTCTCTCTCTCTAAACATCAGGCTGTCCCCTCTCTCCATCTGTTTCCTGTGTGTGTGTGTGTGTGTGTGTGTGTGTGTGTGTGTGTGTGTGTGTGTGTGTGTGTGTGTGTGTGTGTGTGTGTGTGTGCGTGCGTGCGTGCGTGCGTGCGTGTTTGCAGGAGGCAGACAGTGACCAGCACCCCCTGCTGGATCGAGCTGCACCTGAACGGCCCGCTGCAGTGGCTCGACAAGGTGCTCACACAGATGGGCTCCCCGAACATCCACTGCTCCAGCGTCTCCTAGGGCAGCATCTCCTCGCCCCGCCCACCCTCCTGTGCACCTCGTCTCCTCATCAGAGACACGAAACTTAAACTAAAAGATGACAGACTCTTCATTCAGCCACTCTTTATCGCCCACAAACACACACTTGCCATCAGAAGCACTTTTCACAGTTTGTGGCAAAAGGGGACAAGTGCATTAAAGTCGGACCGTGTTAGTAAAACCTGATGCTAGTTTTAATCTCTGAGGGCCAGAGAGGCTTTAGACTTACGGAGTTCTTATTTTATTTGCTCTTTGATTGAAAACTGTTTATGGTTTTGATCATCTGTACAGATTTTAAGATCAATTAGAAAAAAGAAAGAAATATGTGGATTGTGTTAGTCCCACATTTCTGAATCTTAAACATTTCAGTTGACTTTTTTAGTATTTGGTCATCTGACGTTTTGGTGCAGATGTGAATCAGTTAGCCAGACCGAAAGTGATGCCTATAATAAAAGGAGACGGTTATGTTTACAGGAATATTTTTAGCTCTCGTTTCTTCAGCTTGTTAAACAGGAATGTTCATCTTCAAACGGGATCAGATTACAGACGAGCTGAAACATTCAAACCCGTCTAAAGAAACTGTCAAAGTTTGTGACACCGGTTTGACAGTAGATGAGAAGCAGCTGGTAGTAAACTTTAAAACTTTACTCAAGTATTTAGAAACAGCTAAACTTGCTGGAAGTAGCTGCATGAATGTTGAACTCTGGTTGAAAGTTGATATTCCGGTCTAAGGAGGTTGGGAAAACTCATCAAAGTTTAAATGAGAGAATTATGCATTAAAATCAGGAAGCTTTGCCACTTTTCAACCCAGTTTTGCTGCATTTTATGTTGTAATGAATAAATGCTTTTAAACTTGAACACATCTCACATACTTTAATGTCCTTCAGACTTCTAGAGCTGAGCAGACTTATGTGAACACGTAATGTGTGAAAACTGCAGGAAGGAGCGAGACTTAAGAGCAGCTTCTAACTGGTCTTATTTTAGCCACACTGACTTTTCACATAGGACTCAAGAGGGAAAACCGCTGGAAATAAAAACATCATTAAGTGATGAATCATAGTTCAGACTTTCAGGTGTGTGTTTTTTATAGCAGTCAGTTTTGTCCAGGCGGTGTGACCTGAGCGAACACACCACTGGCTGCTTTGGAGGCCAATTCTCTACTTGCTAACCGATTTCATCAAAGCTTCTGACAAAGGGAAACATGTAGATAAATAGAAGCATGTAAATATCAGTAGTGTCTTAAAATGTGTCCTTTTTTAATTTTCAGGTCTCTACGTTTAACACACAGATGTGTGTTTATTTGTGACCAGTATTAAATGAATGGGTTACGAGGCAGAAAAGTTTTTAAAAAGTTTCTAGTTTCCTGTGAAGCGCCCACTCAGGTGGAAGTGGATCAGTTTCCTTCTGTAACACTAGACAATAATGCCAGCCGGTCGGTGCTAATCTAACATGTTAGGGGCTAAAAGGAAACAGCAAAGATGTTTATGTTCATAGAATTTTATGAAATGTTAAAAAAGTGACGTGTGAACCTGAAAACTGAAGTGTGAGATTGTTTCAGAACCAGTAGCATCTACCAGTCTGGAACAAACCAGCGTGCCGTGTCCCTGATTCTGTTGGGATCTTAAACATGTTTAATGTATTTACCCAGTTGGGAAAAGGGTTTTTTATACACTCAAAAACATTGTTTGCTTTATCTTCCCGTGTTTAATAGGTGACTGTAATAATGAGCTGTGATTTACGCTCTCCTGCTCTGAATTGGTTTTTAGATATTTTATTTCCCTGCCTTTATTATACGGTTGTGATGCTTTGTATTATTGTGTTCAATAAATAAAAATGTAAAAGTTGTGGTGAAACCAGAGGTGATGAGTCTGTTTTTATTTCAGGTTTTAATTTTGTCACAAACTCCTTCTATTTGCTTGGTTTCGTAGCTCATGAAGCTGCTTTTCTTTAGCATTTACCATAACACATAACAGGCATATTTTAGGTATTTGTGGTGGTTTGGTTCCCTCCAACAGTAATTAACAGCCTAGAGCAGACAGCACTGTAAGAACTCATTTAATCCGTGGCTGCTGTGACAGACAGGATGCAGCTCTGAGCATAAAGACTGCCTTTGTTGTGATGCCCTTCAGGTAAAGACACCGCCAGACACCATTATAGTCTGAGCTAGTTTGAAGGAAACGATCAGTTGATGCAGTTTAAAAAAGGAATATGGAAACACTTCTATGTCTTTATGTTGTTAGAGTTGATAAAGCAGCCTCCAACGTCAGACATGCCTTCAATTATTAACCCTGGGTACTGGGGTCAACCACCAGGCAAACATGAATCTTTAAATGCAAACTAGAGCTGCTTCAAAAAGACTGTCTAAAAAGCCCTGGCTGCTGAAATATGAAGTGATGCAGCTGTAAACATTTATCCAGGTGTAACTGAAATCAGCTGAACAGAATGCCCTGCAAGACTTAATCTTCTCAGCTAACATGAAGTTCTAAACTTCTATGAGAGGAACAGGTCCGGGGTTTAGTCCCAAAATTTAAAGTTCCACACATCTAGGTGACTTTTAAAAAAAGAAAAGGAGAGAATCTATGTATGTAGTATGTATGACTGGAGCATGCCACTGGTTTACAGTCAGAATTGAGAGAGAAATGATCGCTTTAAACAAACATGGGGTTCATTTATCTCCTAGATAACATCAGTATTAATGGTCTGTTTGCTACATTCTTCTTAGACTTGGGTTTGTTTGAGACCAGATTCAGCTCAACACCGCCATCTGTTGACTAAAATATTACTGACATGCTTTTCATTTGACAGTTTCTAAATGAGATTTCTATCCATCCATTTTCTTTGGCTGCTTGGAGCCTGGAGAGTGAAGACATCCGTGGCACCCGTGGTCATCGGGGCAGTAATCCCCAGACTGGAGGAGTGGCTAAAGTAGATCCCGGGAAAAACATCAGACATCTCAGTCCAGAAAAGTTCAGTTATAAGAGCAAAGACGCTGCACAGAGCCCTCAAGCTCCCAGACCTCTGGTAGAGGACCCGAGCTTGGAAGGATGAGACCACCCGTGGAGGGTGAGATGGAAATTTGTGTACAGTCCAGGCCAAAAGTTTGGACACACCTTCTCATTTAATGTGTTTTCTTTATTTTCATGACCATTTACATTGTAGATTCTTACTGAAACCATCAAAACCATGAATGAACATGTGGAGTTAATGGTGAAATAACTGAAAACATGTTTTATATTCTATTTTCTTCAAAATAGCCACCCTTTGCTCTGAGTACTGCTTTGCACGCTCTTGGCATTCTCTTGATGAGCTTCAAGAGGTAGTCACCTGAAATTGTTTTCCAACAGACTTGAAGGAGTTCCCAGAGGTGTTTAGCACTTGTTGCCCTCTTTGTCAATGGTCATGAAAATGAAGAAAAATATTGAATAAGAAGGTGTGTCCAAACACTTGGCCTGTACTTTATACAGTGGGGCAAAAAAGTATTTAGTCAGCCACCGATTGTGCAAGTTCTCCCACTTAAAATGATGACAGAGGTCAGTAATTTACATCATAGGTACACTTCAACTGTGAGAGACAGAATGTGAAAAAAAAATCCATGAATTCACATGGCAGGATGTTTAAAGAATTTATTTGTAAGTCAGGGTGGAAAATAAGTATTTGGTCAATAACAAAAATTCAACTCAATACTTTGTAGCATAACCTTTGTTGGCAATAACAGAGGTCAAACGATTACTATAGGTCTTTACGAGGTTTGCACACACAGTAGCTGGTATTTTGGCCCATTCCTCCATGCAGATCTTCTCGAGAGCAGTGATGTTTTGGGGCTGTCGCCGAGCAACACGGACTTTCAACTCCCTCCACAGATTTTCTATGGGGTTGAGGTCTGGAGACTGGCTAGGCCACTCCAGGACTTTCAAATGCTTCTTACGGAGCCACTCCTTTGTTGCCCGGGCGGTGTGTTTGGGATCATTGTCGTGTTGGAAGACCCAGCCACGTTTCATCTTCAAAGCTCTCACTGATGGAAGGAGGTTTTGGCTCAGAATCTCACGATACGTGGCCCCATTCATTCTTTCCTTAACACAGATCAGTCGTCCTGTCCCCTTAGCAGAAAAACAGCCCCAAAGCATGATGTTCCCACCCCCATGCTTCACAGTAGGTACGGTGTTCTTGGGATGCAACTCAGTATTCTTCTTCCTTCAAACACGACAAGTTGAGTTTATACCAAAAAGTTGTACTTTGGTTTCATCTGACCACATAACATTCTCCCAATCCTCTGCTGTATCATCCATGTGCTCTCTGGCAAACTTCAGACGGGCCTGGGCATGCACTGGCTTCAGCAGTGGAACACGTCTGGCACTGCA